TAACTAGGTGGACAGGACAGGACATAAAAGCAATCTTCCCATTTCGAGGACATAAATGGAGATGATAAACTTCACAGGAACTGCATTCCAAATTTCAATGCCAGATCCAATTAGATGGTCCTTCAATGGATAGAATTATGCTCTGCTAATGGTTTCCCAACTTACTTCACTTGACGTAGAAATCTGAGAATGAGATAGGGAGTTCGGCCTCTGACAAGTTAAGACTTGTAATCCCGCTCAGTTCGAAACTCAGTAAAAACAATTTCTATCCACCTCTCCCCCCAGCCACCCACCCAGCTTCCCGGCCTTTTGGTCTCCCTCCCCTTGTCTCTTTTTGCCAGAAATGAAAATTGTTCTCTGAGAGAAAGAGGGTAGAAGAGTTAGTAAGATCTGTTTGGGCATGTCAGGATATCCAGGTTGTCTCACTACACACATGGGTACACCTTCACCTCCCATGCTTGGCTCAGAGCCTAGGGTTTTTGTGTGTCTTTTTTTTTTTTTTTCCTTTTTCTTTTTCAGTGAGTCTGGTAGTTTTACCCAAAGATCTTTCTGACACCGACAGAGATCAGTTGGATCTCTGAAATGCATCTGTCGCTGGTTGCTTTCAAAATGTCCTTTAAATAATTCAAAGCGACTGAGAGAATACGTGAGCAGATCCACAGTGTGATAAATAACTTGTCTATAATATCTTCCTTGAAGAATATCACTTATTTATCATATTCATTATTGAACATCTATTGAACATTATTGAACTGAAGTGTGAAAAATACTCCAAATATTATGGGACCCTCAAGGACATATTTTAACTCCTATTTTGGAAAAAAGGACTTCCGCTTTTTGCCTTATATATTTCCTGGTCAATTAAATGTTTTAAAACAATTAGAATGCATTAATTTGTGCAATTAATAATGATATACCAAAGAATTAAAAAAAAAAAAACTATATATATATATACAAGGAATCCAAAAAGGAGAGACACTTAATGGCCACAGTCTAAGATGAGGTCTTCTACTTACTAAGGCTGGATTGCAACTCCAACGCAGCAATTTGGTATCTAATTCTCTGCCTGAACAACTCGCTACTAAGTACCACCTGGGAGCAGCTGCTGTGAGAATCATCAACCATCACTTTCTCAGTAGCACCACAAGGAGAGGCAGACTATCTTTCATAAAATTAAACTTTAACTCATAGGGAATCTAGTTCTCAGACTGTTGTGATGGACAGATAATACACACACCAATAGTTCTTACATCAGGTATCAATAAGGATCTGTTGAATGAAGAAGTTCAATTCCCCTCTGCTCTGTGCTCAGACTGCACAGTTGGTGAAAAATTACAAAAGAAATACAACTTACCAACAAATTAAGCAAAAGAAAGATTGTAATTTTCACATGGAGACATTTAGGCAGGTTAGAAAAGGAAAACTTAAAGACATGGATGTGGACGTGAGCAAGTGCGTGTACACACACGCGCACACACACACACTCCCCACAACGAAATGCTACTCAAACCACAGCCACACACCCCTTGTACTGCATGTTTACAAGGGGGCTGGTCTTGCCTGACTGGGAATCCAGAATGGCTTGCTTCCTGGAGTGCTTTGTATGTAGGCAAAAAGCATTGGCAATGCAGGTGGGAAAATTCAGCTCTTTCTTTTCTTAATGGGAAATTCACCTAAGGCCTTGGCCGTTAAATGCATGTTACAAACACCAAAACATCAATTAATTCAAACTTGTCCATTGTGGAGAGCTGAGAACAGAAATTACACCTCTACCTCCCATGTTCTTCATCACCAAATTAGCTACTAACTGATTAGCACACCAATTAAAATTACTAAAAACAAACATAAAACCAACAGTTGTGATTTTTATAGCAGACCCTAGAGGCTAATGAGCTCAATGGGTTAATCAGCCAAGAAGCTAACTCCAAACAGCAATGTTGCCACATAAGAATGACATACCTCCTCTTCCCCCCAAAACCCTGTCCTAAAGGAAAAAAAAATAATCAAGAAACAACAGTATTACAGCTCCTTGAGAAAAGTACTGAATGACTTATTTTCTGAGACTTATTAATTATAGGTATTTGAGGTCCCTGCTTCATTGATTTACTATATCCATAATTACCATTCATCGTCATGTGACTTCCTGAGCCCCAGGCTTATCTCAATTCTGAGCCTTCTTGCCCATTGACCTATAGATAGTTACCTTCTCTCTTGACACCCTCTACTCTTTTGGCTTCTGCTCTCACCTGTTTGACCTCTTTGGGTGGTTGTTTTGTCTCCTTGGAAGAATTTTCTTTTTGCTTTTTAACCTAGTCATGACAACTCACTGTTATAGTGTTTCGTATATAGCAGGCGCACAATAAATGTTTGCTGAGTAAAGAATGAATTCCAAGGCTCTGAAAACTTCATTACTGGCTTCAATTCTCCACCTTTCCCTGCATTCATGCTCTTTGCTCTGTGACCTGGCAGCTTATCCCACTGAAGGGAAACAGTGTATTTCTCTCCCTCTTGACTTTTGGGTTGGGCCACGTTGACTTAGTGTAGCCAACAAATTGAGGGAGAAGTGATAGGATGCAGGTTCCAACCTTAGACCTAACAAGGCCTCTCAAGTTTGTTCTTGTTCTCTTACACTTCTGCCATGGGCCAGGGGTGTGGAGGCCACTGGGAGGCCACTGGGCCAGGGGTGACCAAGAACGGGCACAGCAAAGCTGCCACAGCCTGCCCCTAGAACCATCTAGCCAAGCCTGTCCTAGATCAGCTGAACCCTATCGGTCTACAGATGTGTGAGTGATAATAAATGATTGATGTTTTAAAGTACCGAGTGTGGGGGCAGTTTGTTACATAGCAATAACTACCTGATAGAGTCTGCCTACTCAGACTTTAGATCTGAAAAATTACATACATTACCACATTATTATCTAGCAATCTAACAGTAGAAGCAGCAGTAATAAGATGATGATGATAACACTAAAAGCATAACAGCTAAACCTATTTGGACATTTACTATGTGCTAGACACTTTCAAGGTATTAGCTCCCTAATATTTATCTCCCTTCATAGACTTTTTATGATAAAATAGTTTTAGATTTAATACTAATATTAATCTCCCTTCATAGACTTTTTATGATAAAATAGTTTTAGATTTATAGAATCATGGAGAACATAGCCCAGAGAATTCTCATATTCCACACCCACTTGCCCCTATTATTAATTTTTGCATTAGCATGGTACATTTGCCACAATTAATAAACTAAGAATCACATTTTATTATGAACCAAAGTCCATAATTTCCTCAGATTCTCTCTGTTTCTTCCGAATGCCCTTTTTCTGTTCCAGGATCCTATCTACCACATTACATTTAAATCATCGTATCTTCTTACTCTCTGACAGTTTTATTCCTTTTCTCCCCTTAAGAAGTTTTAATTATTTTTGGTAACAGCTTGAGATATAACTCATATATCATAAAATCTGCCAATTTACAGTATACAATTCAATGGTTCCTACAATATAGTAGGAACACAGTTGTGCGACAATCACCACAATCAATTTTAGAATGTTTTCATCACCCCAAAAAGAAATCCTTACCCTTCAACTATTACCTCCCAACACTTTCCCCTTTCCTGCCAGCCCTAGGCAACTACTTATCTAGTGATCTATACATTTTCCTATTCTGCACATCTCATATAAGGGAACCATACATTATGCACTCTTTTGTGACTAACTTCTTCCACTTATAATGTTTTCAAGGTTCATCCCTGCTGTAACATGTTTCACTACTTCCTTTTTTTAATGACTGGCTAATATTGCATTGTACGGATAAAGTATATTTTATCTACCTGTCAGTTGATGGATATTTGTATTGTGTTCATGTTTTGGCTATTATGAACACTGCTGCTATGAACATTCATGTACAAGTTTTTGTGCGGACATAAGTTTTCATTCCTCTTGAGTATATACCTAGAAGAAATGCTGCGTCAAGTGGTGACTCTATGTTTATCTTTTTGACAAACTGCAAGACTGTTTTCCAAATTAGCTATGCCATTTTACATTTCTATTTAGCCCTCTTTCTACAAATATGAAATTGAAACCCAAAAGGATCAAGTAATTTGCCCAAGTCCATATAGCTGAGCAGCACAGGAATGGAGGTGCACCCAGGTGGTCTGTCCCAGAGTCCTAGCTCTTGACGATTATACTCCACTGGTGGACACAAGAGAAGCCAAAAGATAACCGATCTTCTCACCATTTCTGATTCTCACTCTTCTAGGAACGATGCCTATTCTCTACATCCTGTTCAAGAAGCCTCTCTCTAGACTTGGAATCCACAAATTAATGGAGGTGGGGAGAACAACAAAGAATCACAAAGGAGAAATAAAATTATGGCAAAAAAATATTTCAATGAGGGGCGCCTGGGTGGCTCAGTCAGTTAAGCGTCTGACTTGGGCTCAGGCATGATCTCACAGTTTGTGGGTTCAAGCCCCACGTTGGGCTCTGTGCTGACAGCTTGGGTTCTGTGTCTCCCTCTCTCTCTGCCCCTCCCCTGCTCATGCTCTCTCTCTCTCTCAAAAATAAAATAAACATTTAAAAAAGTGTTTAAAAAACATTTCAATGAAAAATTGGTATATATTCTGAGATTCTTTTAAATTAAAGGGAAAGCAATGGTGCATACTAGCAGTAGTCAGGTACAAAAAGGTTAAGAGTTGTAATGAGAGTTCATGCGTGAGCCATTCTTTACTTCCTTGAATGAGAAGAAATGGGTTTTAATCTACAGAATGACAAAGACTTCCTCATCACTATCAGACATTGAAGGTCTATTGGAACCCTTAGGAAACCATCCAGGAACATTATTATTATGACTTAAATTGAGTCCTAGCTAGGAGACAGGGAGGTGAACAAAAGGACCAGCAGTCTTGTGGTTCCATGACTTTAGAGATTTTGTGCAAACATATATGCCACAATCTTTGGTCCACAGACTCGGAGTCCTTTAAACCAGGACTAACTTACCCTGAATAGCAGACAGATATACAAAGGTGTCTTCATGCTCCAAGTTCTCCAAGAATATCTGCAACCACAAAATAAAGGAGTGATATGATTTGCAAAGAAAAAACAAGATATAAGTGACCCTTATGGCAGCCTCAAAAGAATAAATGCTTTTCTTCTTGTTTGTCTTAGCCAGACATTGGTCTGACTTGAGAATCTTGTAGGGAAGACGGTGTATATGTTTGAAGACCCATTTTTACAATAGTTATAAAAGAGTACCAGTTAGAGGGAGATACTTCTTGAAGTGGCCAAGTATATACCAGAAGTAGGCATGGAAACCAAGACCTGGAAGAAGAATCTTCAACGTTTGCTCCACTACAGGCCATGGTGGGCAATACTCTCACATGTGACACGACAGACTACCAGTCATGAAACACAAGATGCCAAGTGTGGGGTTATGTCCAATTGATGGCATATTTGCTCTAATTTCATCCTTTTCCCTTGCATTCAGAAAGTATATGGAAATGCAAGTGACAGAGAGATGTTACTGAGATAACCCTGAATCTGTTCTAATTTATTTCTTTAAATCTTTTGCACATTTCGGCACTTCAGTTGACATTAGTTACAAATTGTCCTCAACAGATTGTCTCACAATTGAGGAACGCACTGGGGTGTCAACTGCAGAGAGTACTTAAGCTTATGAAGAAGATAAGACAGTGACATGTTAAGTTTAGGCCCTAATATGAGGGCCAGAGAAAGACAGCAGCCATATGCCCATTTTTTTCCTGCTTGGGAGTCTAGGGGAAGGACGGGGGTATCTGTGTTCCACATTTAGTGATGCATCGCTCGCGGGCACAGTGAGTCTTGATACCAACTTGATGCTGCTGGTCCCCACATCTGCAGCATGTTAGGGAGAGCCGAAAATTAGTTTAATTGGAAAGAGGGCCAGGTTGGAAGGGGTGGGATCATGTAAGGAGTAAAGGAAGCTTAATCCAGGGTAGTGGCCATGGGAATAAAGAAGAAGAGAGAGAGAGGTATTTGACAGACTTCTTGGAAAAAGAATTGACAGGACCTGACCAATCATGCACAGAAGATGAAGGTTAAACAAGTTCAAGAAAATCCCAAAGACGTTCATAGCATTCACCATCTATTTGGTGTATGAAGGGATATCTTTGGTGATTGATTACTCAAAGGAGATACATTATTTGAGGCTTACAGTAATATTTTAATGGCAGCAAATCCTTGGCACATTAACAGGCCTTGGTTTTCTCATCTTAAAATGGGGATAATACCAATATTGCAGGTGTTGTGAGGACTAGAGACAATGTCTGAAAGGTATAGGACCAGGCTCAATAAACAGTGGTTATTATTATTATACTATTGATTCTAACACTTCAGTGACTAGAGATAAATGTTTTCAATCAGAATTATAACTCTTAATCTAATGGCTAAAGAATATGAAAGAGATGATAATCATGATGGGGAACCTTTTTTAGATGCTCATTGTGTGCTTATCTCTATAATTAGTGCTTTACGCAGACTTTTTTTTTTCAAGGTGTCAGCAGGTTCATTCATTCCAACATATATATATATATATATATATATATATATATATGTAAATGTATTCATTCATTCATTCATTCATTCATTCATTCATTTTAAGTAAGCTCTATGCCCAACATGGAGCTTGAATTCACAACCCTGAGATCAAGAGTTGCCTGCTGAGCCAGCTAGGTATCCATACACGACTATTTTATTTTAAATTTTAAATATTTTCCTTCTTTTCTTTTGTTTCTTTTTTCAGATTTTATTTTTATTTTGGGGGTGCCTGGGTGGCTTGGTCGGTTAAGTGTCTAACTCTTGATTTTGGCTCAGGTCATGATCTCATGGTTTGGGGGTTCAAACCCTGTGTCAGGCTTCACACTGACAGCTTGGGATCCTTTCTCTCTCTCTCTCTCTCTCTGTCTCTGCCCCTCACCCACTCAGTCATGCCCTCTCTCTCTCTCTCTCTCTCTCTCTCTCTCTCAGATAATAAACTTAAAAAAAGAATTTCTTTTTAAGTAATCTTTATACCCAATATAGGGCTCAAACTCACAACTCCAAGCTCAAGAGTTATATGCTCAACAGACTGAGCCAGTCCAGGTGCCCCTAAATCTTTCAACATAAAGTGGGTCCTACTGTTATTACCCTCACTTTACAGATGTAGAAATTGAGGGGGGGTGCATGGGTGGCTCATTCGGTTAAGCCTCTGACTCTTGATTTCGCCTCAGGTCACAATCTCATGTTCGCAGGATCCAGCCCTGTGTCTGGCTGTGCACTGAAAGCACAGAACCTGTTTGGGATTCTCATTCTCCCTCTCTCTCTGCCCTTCCCCCTTGAGAAATAAATAAACAGGTGTAGAAATTGAGGTCCAGAAATTTTAAATGACTTGTCCATGAAAATGATCTGGGATTGGATCAGTAGTCTCTAGACTCTTTGCTCTTAATCTCTAACCCATACTGAGGTCAGGAAAATTACCACAAAAGGGAAAAGATCCCCAACCAAGTATACATTGTCTCTCACATACATCTCTCGTGTACAGAACAGACTCTTCACTGTGATGGAGGGAGAAGGCAGGAGTGAGGGGAGCCAGTTCTGCACAATTCCCCTACAAAGGGGGCCCAGAAAAAACAGGTGGCTTCTCTGGGAATTTGCTCATGCTGTACCTTCCCCTTTTCTTTCCTGTTCAAGCTCAACTGAGTGGTCTCAGGTGGTTATCTAAGTCTTGCCTGTGTCTATATCTTGCCTCCTCAGAACAATTACAATTTCCCTAAAGGTGGTCCAGGGCAGGGGCGTCTGGGTGGCTCAGGTGGTTAAGTGTCCAACTCTCAGTTTCAGCTCAGGTCACGATCTCGCGGTTTCGTGAGTTCGAGCACCACATTGGGCTCTGTGCTGACAGTGCAGGGCCTGGTTGGGATTCTCTCTCTCTCCTCCTCTCTCTCTGCCCCTACCCTGCTCACACTGTCTGTCTCTCTCAAAATAAATGAATAAACTTAAAGAAAATTAAAACAAAAAAACCCAGGTTGTCCAGGGCAGGGCTTGGTACATAGTCAAGGCTCCCAGAAAGCTGCCCCATTCTGCGTGCATGTGTTTTCCCAGTATGTTCTACTTACCTTGAGAAGCTTCTCTTGCATCTCAAGGGCTTTTGCTTCTCTCTGCTCTATCCAGCAGGAAAGAGTTCGCAGGGCAGCAGCCCGCGTTGGAATCTGAGGATCATAAGCCGATAAAATAACCTCCTGGAGCTGGTCTGTGGTGATGCTTCCAGACTTGTGGTTTGTAGTAGTTCTGGACACACTGACCTCCTGAGCAATGGGTGGAGTGTGAGATTTCAGGCCCATTTGCCTGGATTTCTCCCGGCTTTGCTGTTGTTCGAGGTCAGACCCATTACTGTTCTTTTCATGACTGGTTGGTTGCTGTTCTTCTATTTTCCCTTCTGGATCCTTTCTGTTCAGGGTACTTTGGGCAGCCACACTGACAGCATCGGTGGAAAACGCCCCATGGGTCGAGATGGTGATGCGGAGATCGGCAGCGAGCTCTTGGATGACAGGGTCAGGGTACACATTGGAGACCTTCTCCAACAAAGGCAGCAATTGCTTCAGGACAGCGAAATCACCTGACTTCAACTACAAAATGAAAGAACAAATGCCAAACCCAAATTAATATAGCAGATGTTAATAATGCCTAAGCACAAGGGAACATATTCTGAGTAAGATCTTATTCATGGTGTAATCAGCATAGTCTAGCACTCAGTAACTATTGTTGAATAATTATAGCTAACACTTATTAAATACTGTGTGCAGGTATTTTTCTGAGTTAAAAATAAACTAGTGATGTACATGATTACACTTAATTTTTAGTGGGAATTTAGTGGGAACCTGGTGGGAAAAACATGATTATCCTATGGTTTTAATTTGCATTAGCCAGACTACCAGTGCTATTAAGCATCCTTTCATGTTTTTTGGCTGTCTGCATTGCTTTTTTCTGTGAACACCCTGTTTACATCCTTTGGACCCACTTACCTGTTAGACTGTTTGTCTCTACAGCTATTCTCACCATCTCAGGTTTTAGTACCCAGACATATGGTAAAATGATTTTCCAGATTATTATATTTTGACTTTTATTACCTTTTTTACTGCATTATTGTACTTTTAACTTCTATGTACCTTTTGCTATAAAAGATGAGTTAATATTAGCAAAGTACTTAGTGCCTGACACATAGTAAGTGCTATGTAAATGCTTTAAAAAGAAATACAATAAAAAATACGCACATAATCATATCCCTATAATCTAGTTATGATTATTATCTACATTATAAATGGGGGAAATGAGGCACAGAACAGTTAAATAATATGTACAAGGTCACACAACCGGAAGATGGTGAGATATGAATTCAGTATTTCTGGCTCCAGAGTCCACACTCTTACCCAATACCCTACAGAGTCTCACTTGAACAAATAAAGCAGTTTTTTTTTTAATTTTTTTTTTAACGTTTATTTATTTTTGAGACAGAGAGAGACAGAGCAGGGGAGGGGCAGAGAGAGAGGGAGATACAGAATCTGAAACAGGCTCCAGGCTCTGAGCGGTCAGCACAGAGCCCGACGCAGGGCTCGAACACACGGACCATGAGATCATGACCTGAGCCAAAGTCGGACGCTTAACCGACCAAGCCACCCAGGCGCCCCTAAAGCAGTTTTTTTTTTTTTTAATGTTTATTTGTTTTTGAGAGAGAGAGAGCATGCATGAGAGCGTGGGGAGGGGCAAAGAGAGAGGAAGACAGAGGATCCAAAGCAGGCTCCGCACTGACAGCAGACAGCCCCACACGGGGCTCAAACCCACAAACTGTGAGATCATGACCTGACCTGAAGTCAGACACTTACCTGACTGAGCCACCCAGGCACCCACAACTAAAGGAGTTCTTAACTACATTTTCTAAAGTGGCTGGTCAGCATACAAAGGCATCATAGGTCTGGAAGTTATCGAGACAATAATTGGCAAGAGGGAACTTTTCCTGGAAAGTGAGAGTGAAAATTACATAAGATTTTATTCTCTCCTGCAGCTTTGTTCTATAATGCCATATGCCTTACTAGGAAAAGTGTATGTGCAGGCAGTAGAGAAATGAGAATCAGTGAGAATCTTTTTCTCTTTGAAAACACTAGAAATATTATCATATGAGGCTTCATGAGCCCTTGATATTTGAAAACCTTGCAAGTCTTAAAATCCTTTTTAGAACAAGGCAGGGTATTTATTACTAACTCATTCACTTGTTTCATTATCCAACCAACCAATCAACCAACTGCCTGTGTAAGATCTATGTAATATTCTCATTTAAACTCTAAGTCCGCAGAACTGTTACTGTTTGTTTTCCCCATCACTTTCCTTCCAAGTAAATAAAAACTTGAGGTTTATGTCAGGTTTGTACCTATAGAATTTCACCACACACCCCCCTCAGATTCCTTTGTTTAAACATTAGGAACTCTACAAAATTGACAGAAGGTAAAATTTCTAGCTTTGCAGAGTATGTTAACCTATCTGCATGTGTACGACAACTGACTACTGCATTGTTACTGTATCTTAAAGGGAGAAGAGAATATGTATGTCCAGAATAAAAATTATGTTATCTGAGTAAAAGGCCAATTTTATCAGGAATCTGTAGAACTGGGAGAGATATTTTAGTAATAGAGAGTGATAGATATTTAGATAATTTTGTGAGTATTACCATTATGCTAGACTTCAGCTCGTGCCTCTGTAGTATTATGGGCATTTGTTTTTACTTTAAGTGTCTGAAATGGGAAAATCTATTTATAGCAGGAGTGTATGGCCTCTTTTTCATTTCTATTGTACACAACAATTACTTCTTAAAAGGAAAAAAAAGAGGGGCGCCTGGGTGGCTCAGTCGGTTAAACGGCCGACTTCGGCTCAGGTCATGATCTCGCAGTCTGTGAGTTCGAGCCCCGCGTCAGGCTCTGTGCTGACCGCTCAGAGCCTGGAGCCTGTTTCAGATTCTGTGTCTCCCTCTCTCTGACCCTCCCCCGTTCATGCTCTGTCTCTCTCTGTCTCAAAAATAAATAAACGTTAAAAAAAAATTAAAAAAAAAGATAACTAGACCAATGGAACAAAATAGAGAAACCAGAAAGAGACCTATATAAATATAGTCAATTGATTTCTTTTAAGTTTATTTTTTTTTTTAATTTTTTTTTCAACGTTTATTTATTTTTGGGACAGAGAGAGACAGAGCATGAACAGGGGAGGGGCAGAGAGAGGGAGACATAGAATCGGAAACAGGCTCCAGGCTCTGAGCCATCAGCCCAGAGCCTGACGCGGGGCTCGAATTCACGGACCGCGAGATCGTGACCTGGCTGAAGCCGGACGCTTAACCGACTGCGCCACCCAGGCGCCCCATTAAGTTTATTTTTTTAATTTAAGCACAGTTGCCACACAACGTTACATTAGTTTCAGGTGTGCAACACAGTGATTCCAATATAATCAACTGATCTCTGCCAAAGAAGGAAAGTCAACACAATGGAGAAAAGACAGATTTTCAACAAATGGTGCTGGAACAACTAGACATTCATGCAAAAAAAAATGAATTTAGACACTGACCTTACACTATCACAAAAATTAGAGAGAGACAGAGCACGAGTAGGGGAGGGGTAGAGACAGAGAGAGGGAGGCACAAAATCTGAAGTAGGCTCCAGGCTCCGAGCCGCCGGCACAGAGCCCAGTCCGGGGCTCGAACTCACAAACCACGAGATGATGACCTGAGCCGAAACCGTGAGTCAGTGACTTAACCGACTGAACCACCCAGGTGCTCCTAAATGGATCATAGATTTAAATGTAAAACTCAAACTATTAAATTCCTACAAGAGAAGAGAAAATCTAGATGACCTTGGGTATGGCGCTGACTTCTCTGATAAAATACTAAAGAAAAAAGTCCATTAGAGAAATAAGTGATAAGCTAGATTTCACCAAAATTTAAAATTTTTTCAACTTTTACTCTGCAAAAGGCAATGTCAAGAGAAAGAGCAGAGAAGCCACAGACTAAGGGGAAATATCTGCAGAAAGACACAGCTGATAAAGGACAGTGATCCAAAATACACTAAGAACTCTTAAAACTCAACAATAAGAAAACACGCAAGCAACCCAATTTACAAATGGGCAAAAGAGCTGAACAGACCCTTCGCCAAAGAAGATACATACACATACAGCATATGAAGAGATGCTCAGCATCATATGTCATCAGAGAATTGCAAATTAAAATGAGATACCATTATGTACCTATTAAAATGACTAAAATCCAAAACACTGACAACAGCACAGCTGGTGAGGATGTGGGGCAAGAGGAACTCTCATTCATTGTTGGTGGGAATGCAAAATGGTACAGTCACTTTTGCAAGACAGTTTGGCAGTTTCTTACAAAACTAAACATACTCTTACCATATGTTCCAGCAACTGATCTCCTTGGTATTTACCCAAATGACATGAAAACTTCTGCCCATACAAAAACCTACACATAGATGTTTATAGCAGCTTTATTCATAATTGCCAAAACTTGGAGGGAACCAAATGTCCTCCAGTAGGTGAATGGATAAATAGATTGTGGTACATCCAGACCATGGAATATTATTCAGCACTAAAAAGAAATGAGCTATCAAACCCGACATACATGGAAGAACCTTAAATGCCTATTACTGAGCGAAAGAAGCCAGTATGGAAAGGCTACACAGTATATGATTCCAAGTAAGTTACATTCTGGAAAAGGCAAAACTGTGGAAACAGTAAAAAGATCAGTGGTTGTCAGGGGCTGAGGGGAGAGAAGGGTGAAGAGGCAGAGTGCAAAGAATTTTAAAGGCAGTGAAACTATTGTGTAAACAATATCATAATAATAGATGTGTGTCATTACACATTTGTCAAAACCCATAGAAGTGTTCAGCACCAAGAATAAACTGTAATGTAAACTGTAGGCCATGAGTGATAATGTACCAATGCAGAATCAAAGACGTAATAAATGGATCACGCCAGGGCAGAATGCTGATAATGGGGGAAGCTGTGCTCTCTGGGGCAGAAGGTCTATGGGAAATCTGTGTAACTCCTGCTCAATTTTGCTGTGCACCTAAAACTGCTCTAAAAAAGAGTCTATTAATAAAATACCCAACCATCTTTTCTTCCAGTTTTCAAGCTTCTTAGTCATTGTTGGATTCATCTTATTTGAGCGAGTAACTTCCCTAATCACCATAGGTGTAGGTGGATTCTGAATCAAATAGTTTACAAGGCAATTAAAGTTATGCATTCCTTCAGTTTCATAAGCCTACAGATTTCCCACTATGAGAATAATTAGGGAAATCTAAGACTACAGGTGCCAACTATTTTGTTCACAGATATTCAAAAAAATGTTGAGGTATAAAGTAATATTCACTTAATTGATAGATGAGAAAACGGAACCACTAAGTAATTATGAATTATTTTTCAAGGGTCACCAGAGGCCATATCAAAGTTGAGAATTAAACATAAAGCCCTCATTTCTACTCCTGTCACTGCTTCTCATCACAGATCTCATATCCAGACTTCAAAATTCTGTGTAGAAGGCCTGAGGCCTGAAGGAGCAGCCCGCAGGCCAGTGACAGATTCCTTTATCTGGCTGCCTCTCTTCCAGGATCTCTGGAAGGCTTCAGGAGTGGAATGGGCAGAGCTCTGTCAGCCCACCTCTATGATTTATTTCAGGGCGTCAAGAGTGAACCAGTTAGATGGTGAGTTGTTCTGAATTTCTGCAAGCTTTCAAATTTAAGAACTGGGGAATGGACTGGTAGGGGTGGGAGGGGGGTATGGAGTGGTGGGAGGGAGCATACCTGCTAAGGGAAGCATATGAGGACCAAAGTGACAGCCAGAGGACAGCATGCATACACTGAAAAAGCCCCACAGGAGGCTCTACAAAGCTAGCCTAAGGGGCATACGTCTCCTCATCCGGCCTTACTCTGCTCCAGTGAGAATCACTACTTTGGGAGAATCTGAGGGTTTCTTCCAGCAATAAAATGCTGACCTAATTCCATAAAATATTTATGTGTATTCTTTGTGTACTCATTTCTATATATCACCTATGTTTCTCGAGATACTTTGCTGAATAGTTAACATGTCCAGTTCTCATCTGTGTCACTGAATTTATTTACAAGTGGTATTTAAAAAAATTTTTTTTCAATGTTTATTTATTTTTGCGACAGAGAGAGACAGAGCATGAACAGGGGAGGGGCAGAGAGAGGGGGAGACACAGAATCGGAAACAGGCTCCAGGCTCTGAGCCATCAGCCCAGAGCCCGACGCGGGGCTCGAACTCACGGACCGCGAGATCGTGACCTGGCTGAAGTCGGATGCTTAACCGACTGCGCCACCCAGGCGCCCCAGTGGTATTTTAATTTTGGTTCTAAGTCAGCATGCAGTATGCCCTGTTTTATAATAAGCTGCACATAAAGATACTAATATGAATCTTTTTTCAAAAACTTAAGAATTCATCAGATTTACCACAGCCACTAGAAGGTAACCTCCATGAGGGCAAAGAGGCACATGATAAATACTTCTTTTTTTAAAGTTTATTTATCTTTGACAGACAGAGAGAGCAAGGGAGGGGCAGAAAGAGAAGGAGACAGAGAATCCCAAGCAGGCTCCATATTGTCAGGGTGGAGCCCAATATGGGGCTCGAACCCACCAACCATGAGATCATGGCCTGAGCCGAAGTCGGATGCTTAACCGACTGAGCCACCCAGGTGCCCCAATAAATATTTCTTGAGTGAGTTCACTCTATGATACTCTCAGAAAATATGGTATGAGACCTCAGTATTCGGGTTTGAGTCCCAGCCCCACCACCCTGATCCTCCAAGCTCAGATCAGCTCCATGCAGTGGTGCTATAGGGGACACAGGCCCTGAAACATCATCAAGAAACTTTACCAACATCACACTTTTACTGTGTGACCAACCTTGAAATTTAGATAATGAGTTTGGAATTACACTTGTCTTGTTAGCAGTCTTAGACCTACACTTTCTCTAAATTGACTCCTCTTCCTAGATACCGTGCTCTAATAATCATCTTAATTACATAAATTAGAAAGGAAAGAAAGAAAAGTTTAAATGCTGTTAGATTCTGTTTCATCAGCTGAAACAATGAACTCTAATCAGAGATTGATTTAGTATAATCTAGACTCTGAAGCAAAAGTCCTAGCCTGACAATGACCATCTGAAAACATAATTAAGAATCATGATTTTTTTTTTCTATTACAAAGACAGAAAACCCAGAATTACTATAGAAGCCCCTTATGAATCCATGAGTCAAACAGAAAAAAAAATTAAGAGATCTAGGGCAAAAGTACAGGGTGACATGTTTATGTTCACTTAACTAAATGCAAAGTCAGAGGAATCCAGAATGTCATCAGTGAGTCAGGATGGCTCATGGAAGGGCAGAGACAGGTAAAGGATGTACATTTGCATCAGCTAGGTGAATCGTCCTTAAAACATGACTAATTTACATAGCCAGTCCCCAAACAACGGGCTTCTAGAAAGGGAAATGGAAATATCTGCGTTCGGGGCGCCTGGGTGGCGCAGTCGGTTAAGCGTCCGACTTCAGCCAGGTCACGATCTCGCGGTCCGGGAGTTCGAGCCCCGCGTCAGGCTCTGGGCTGATGGCTCGGAGCCTGGAGCCTGTTTCTGATTCTGTGTCTCCCTCTCTCTGCCCCTCCCCCGTTCATGCTCTGTTTCTCTCTGTTCCAAAAATAAATAAAAAACGTTGAAAGGAAATATCTGCGTTCTATTTTCCATTTGGGACGTGGTACAAAATTATAGGTGTTAAGTAAGAGAAAAGAAAAGCATAAAGATGATACTCTCAACTTATGGACACAAAGACTATTCTTAATATTCAACCAGAAAAACAAAAACCAATCAGGCCAACCAAATCCAATAATACAACTTAATAAAAACTAGTCCACTGATGAACCCCTCCTTGACAATTTAATGGCAGGGATATATTAGGACTTCAGAAAATGAACCAAAAATGTTTTCTTCAAAGTACATGGAAAATATAAAATTTGGAGTGCTAAGTACATCTACCAAGAAACGGGCTTCACATTAACAACAGACCCAAATAAGATTCCTCTTCCCCTTAAGGACAAGCTTTGAAAGGACACAAATTCTAATATATCACAAATCAGTATCAGATTTGAATCTTCATATTAAAAAATCCATTCCCAGAGGGTTCTCCGCTCATTGCTACGAGTCATGACCTGTCTGATTTTGGGTCAGATTTCATTACATTCGCACCAAGCTTATTCTGCCTTCTTACAGTCTCCTAACAGACAAACCTGCCCACCTCCCTTCTTGTCCGGCACTCCTCTGACTCTCGGTCTCTGTAACTCAGCTACACACTGGCTTCTGTTAGTGTTTAAACATACCAGGCTCTTTTCTGCTTCCCAGACTTTGTATGTGATGTTGTCTTTTAATGACTTTCCTCCATCTGCACCCCGCACACTCCCAAGCTCCTATTCACTGTTCAAATCTTACCTCAAACTTCTACTTCTCGGTAGAAACTTTCCCAGCCTAGGTTAGATGTTATGTTCTCTTGACACCCTCCTCTTTTCTTTTCAGGCACTTCATTCAATTCTAAGTACATCTTCTGAAGAGTTATTTAGTGTCTGACTCCCTCACTGGCTGTAAGCTTCATGAGGGTAGGGACCACGTTTGCTTTGTCCACGGCAGTATTCCCAGACCCTTAGCTCAGTGTCTGGCACAAAGCGGTAAGCAATAAATGCTTTTCAAGTGAATGAATTTAAAAATTACAAACTAAGTATATAAAAGATACATGCACGGGACACAAAAACTTTAACAGGCCACATGGTGTGGGTTGAACAATGGATCCTGTGCTAAAACAGAACTATTCCAAACAGATGGAGTCCTAAGCAATCAGGAGGTTATCCAAGTTTTCCCCCAACTACAGCAGCGGGGACAAGGGCTGAGTTTTGGAGAGCCCTCGGAGTAAGGGGCAGAAAACCTAGCATTCGCCACAGATGCAAAACACTGTGCCAGGTATTTCCAAATCGAGCTTGTGCCAGGTCAGAAAGGGCCCTGCTCTTCTGACAGTGAAGTCTGAGCAGGGGACAGGGTGGAAGTGGTACGATCTTCTCGTCCTCTGCTTTGGGGAGTATTCTCATTAGCAACCTGACCTGTTTATCCTAGTCCTCCTGAGCGCAGCCTCATTCTGTTTTCTCACAAGGGTGAGAAGGGAAGCAAGAGGTTTCTCTCTTTCCTCTTCTCTCCTCCCTCTGTCCAGGTGGGGCTCATGTGTGCCACTCACCTGAACAGCTCCTCCCAGCATGACAGCCACCAGCCCCATGGACATGCTCAGCGTCTGCGATTCCACGGTGCTCTCTGCCTGGTGGGCCAAGCTTGCGCACGCTCGCTGCAGGGTTGCTGCAACAAAGTCCACAACCTACACAGAAATAGAATTTAGAATCAGTGAGGGATAAGAAAAACAATCTCAAAATCCTCTTTACATCCTATGTCCACATCCTCACCTTCTTCCTCATCAACACATGAAGGCAAGAACCTGCAAGAACAGGCATGGTGCTCAGTGTCTTACACGCACAGTATCACCTACATCTCACGTCAGCTCTAGGAGGTCAGTGTTTCTGTCCTCATTTTTTTTTCCTAAGGTAAACTCTACCCTCAATGTGGGTCTTGAACTCACAGCCCCACGATCAAGAGACACATGCTCTACCGACTGAGCCAGCCCAGATGCCCCCGTCCTCATTTTTTGATGAAGAATCTGTGAGCTGCTCAAGCCCATACAGTCAATAAATGGGAAAGCCCATTTATACTTTCCCAAATGTTTTAATATACTAATCCAACTTCCTTGACTTTTCATGAGTTTTGCCAGGAAATTAAAATGAAAAATAATTTGAGACTTTCTGACCATCTTAAAGGGTGCTAAATCTGCTTCTCCTAATGAGGCTTCCTCAAGGACTCCCCTGCCCCAACCCAGTTATGAAGGTCTGATTCCAATAAGCAGAGAATGGGGGGAAAGGCATTCAGTATTATCTAGAATAGAGTCCTCAAACAATCAATACAAATGATCCAGCATCATTTTTGTAAGTATCAAATATTTTTAAAGGATTCAGATCATTCATATATAGGATTTTATACAGCATTTGGCTATCAATTAAGCTTTAAATGGAATTAATTTGGTCAACTTCATTTTAGCAGCACTTGTATTAATCACCTTAAGTAGAAATACCTTTGAATAAAAGTGATCATACACACATCCGTGCTTGCGCACATACGCATGTGCATGCACGCACACACACACGCATATTTAGGATTAATGGCTCAAAAGGGAAAAATCATTTTGAAAGTGGTACAGCTGACATAGGTCATAATAAGCCTCTAAATACCATGCAAGCTTGCATATTTAATTCTCTGGGCAAATCACATGCTAGGCTAGAGTCTTTATTGCAAGCTTAAAGTAAGGAGAATGGCTTGTTAACACTTGTCTTTGGAGCAAGGCAGGAAACTAGAAAGGTTATTAAAAGTTCCACTTACTGAAATGAACAAATGCTGGTTGTGGCAATTTTCACCACTCTCTCAAGCCTGAGACTTTACTGATATTAGAAGTTACAGACACTGGCCTTTCTAGAGAAAATGCTACATTTCTAGAGAAAATACTTGGGTCACCTATTTTGTCTCTGCAGAGTTTCCTAAAGCACCCCTTGATTATGGGAAGCTTCTGCTTCAGCACAAATGTATTGTTAACTTGCTGGAATAGAACTATCTAGACTTTCCACTTTTTGTAAGTCCCTCTTTGCTATACATTTTTTCTTCTTTTTTTTTTTTTAGACGCCACAAAACAAGTAGTATGATCCTATTTTTGTCAAGAAAGAAACTATGGGGGCACCTGGGTGGCTGAGTCAGTTAAACGTCTGACTCTTGATTTTGGCTCAAGTCACAATCTCACAGTTCGTGGGTTCAATCCCTGCATCAGGCTCTGTGCTGACAGCATGAAGCCTGCTTGGGATTCTTGCTCTTTCCCTGTCTCTACTCCTCTCCCACTCATTACCTCTCTCTGTCTCTCTCTGTCTCTCTCTGTCTCTCTCTCTCTCTCTCTCTCTCTCTGTCTCTCTCTCTGGCTTTCTCATAATGGACAAATAGTGGTGCCTTGGTGGTGCAGTTGGTTAAGCATTCAACTCTTTACTTCAGCTCAAGTCATGATCTCACAAGCTCGTGAGTCAGAACCCCACGTCGGGCTCTGTGTTGACAGTGCAGAGCCTGCTTGGGATTTCTCTCTCCCTCTCTCTCTGCCCCTCCTCAGCTTGCTCTCTCTCCCTATCTCTCTCTCAAAAAATAAATAAATAAACATAAAAAAATTATTTAATATGTTTAATAAATAAACATAGGAAGAAAAAAAAAGAAACGATGTTTGTATACATGTAAAAAAAAAACCCCACAAAAAACAAAAAACAAAATACCTGGGAGCTGTTAATTGCAATTTGATAGCCAGCTGTTATTGTCACCCCTGAAGTGCCCTTCAAGCTTTTTTCTTGTAACGGCAAAACCGCCATACCCATTTCCCATTTGGACAACAGCTCCTCCCTGCTTCTACTCATTTCCTGTGACCGGTGGGGCTACCAGCCACAAAGATAGGTAAGAAATGGAAGCGTGTTGTAGAATTCACATACGTTGTGGAGAGGAGGAGAGGTTTTTACTTTCTACTTCAGCATTTTTGTGAAGTTACATCATCTAAAAAGCTGAATATTCCTGCAAGTCTGTAATGGAAAATAGCAGTGCCCTACCGCATTTCTCCCTGTCTATGGCTCTACAGAGGCAGCCGCTTTTAACAGCTTAGGTGTTTAACAAGAACATAAAGCATTTACTTTGTACCAGGTACTGTTCTGAACACGTTACAGATATTAACTCTCTTAACCTCCCGATCACCCCCTGGAGCCGTATAAACCTGCTGCCGGCATTCTGGCAGCCGAGTGGAAGCGGGCTGAGGCCTCGCTGTTGAGTCTGCAGACAACAACCTGATCCTCCGCTTTTTCAGCTTCCTGCCGCCACCCAAGTTCAACGTCGCCCAAGAATATTCCTCCGGTCTTCTGCTGAGGAGGGGAGGTGTCTGCACCAAGTTGAGGAAGGAATCCAGGAGTCTACCGAAGCTTGCAGAGCCTTTCAACCTGTTTTAAGCTCTAAATTCAGCTGTATCTTTACAGCTCAATCTAGCACCTCCAGTCTTTCTACTGTTCTGCAAGCAGAAGTAGTTTTTATTTCCCTAAATAAAATATTAACAGCTTTATTGAGGTACAGTGCTTTCCTTCTTGACTTCTCCCCTGCAGGCACTTAAGATTTCTGAGTTGCTAAATCAGCTATCATTTTCCAGTTTCCAAATGGTGTTATTCTCTTTTATCTGCTATCTCTCCTCTCCTGCTCTGTTGGCCCCTGTGGTTTCCAGAAGGAGCACATAAACACATGCGTTCAATATACTATCTTTAATCAGAAGTCCATACTTAAATTTTGCGCTTCCTTGTGGTTTAAATGCTTTTACGATGAGCATGCGTTAACTTATGTTAGAAGTGTTTTTAACATATGAGAAAGAACGATCATATAAACCACTTCTACTGTGCCAAGTACAGCGATCCAAATACAGAAAGGTGTAAAGGGTGGTGATTTTCTGAAAGGGCAGAAAAAAGGAAATCTTGCTCATTCCATTCTATTTACACTGGCCTTCTTGCTAAGCCGTCCATACTTAGCTGGAACACTCTTCCCTGCAGTATCTCCCTGGCTCCCTCCTTCCCCGCTTCCAGATCTTGGCTCAAAAGTCATTTTCTCAGTGAGGCTCTCCACAACCACTCTACTTACCACATGGCCTCTACATCCCCTTTCTTTGATTTTTCTCCCTGGAATTATCACCATCTAACACTCTGTGTGCTTCTGCTTGTTTGTTGTCTCTCTCCCCCAAGTGCATGTGATCCCAGGAGGATAGATATGTGTGTTGTTCACTGCTGTGTCCCTCATACCTAGAAGTGTAAGTGGCACATAGTAGGCCTTCAGTAAATATTTGTGGAATGAAGGAATTTGGGAGTTGGTGCAGGGCACTGTATCTGTACAAAGACCACTGAACGCCTCAGTTCTCTATCTTCTTGTACATCATCTGCCAACACATTTTATTGAATTTTTAATCTTTTAGCCATAAATACTTTAATACACATTTCTAACAAGGAGGTGTTTTGTTTTGTTTTGTTTTGTTTTGTTTTGTTTTGTTAACATAACCACCACATCAGGGGTGCCTGGTTGGCTTAGTCGGTAGAGCATGCGACTCTTGATCTCAGGGTGGTTAAGTTAGAGCCTCAAGTTGGGTGTAGAGATTCTTAAAAAATAAAATCTTAAACACACACACACACAACTACCATACCATGATTATACTCAATAAAAATTCCTTAATACCTTCTATTACTTGGCCCATGACTGTTGCAAAAATGTCCTCATAGCAACTGGTATGTTTGAATGAGAATCCACACACTGCATTTGGTTGAGGTGTCTCTTAAGCCCCTTCTAAGCTAGAGAAGCCCTGCATCTTTTCTATGCCATTTATTTGGTGAAGAAACTGGATCATTTGTAGTGTACAATGTCTCACACATTCTGGAACTGGCTGATTTTGCTTCCTTATGGCACTAACTTGCTCCTGTACCCCGAGTTTCCTTGGTTAGATTCAGGTTCACATTTTATGGACTTTGGTTTTTTAGTTTTTGTTTGCTTGATTGTGGGGTTTTGTTTGTTTGCTTTTTGGGGGAAGAAACCTTCTCAGGTGGTGCCACATACTTCCTATTTCATTACATTAAGAGAACACATCGTGTCTGCTTACCTACTTCTGGTGATGTTAAGATGAATCACTCCACGCTGAAATATTTAGGGGAACATAAACCACTATCTACATTAACCCTGAAATCCACCAAAAATTAGAAGGAGGATAGAGAGGTGGAAATGTAGATAAATATGTGCTAAAGCAAATATAATAAAATGCTAGGTGATGGGTTTACAGGTATTCATTATAAAATTCTTTCAGATTTGAAGGTTTTCACAATAAAATGCTGGAGAAAAAACCATCAGTTGTTTTGGATGTATTTGACCTAATTACATTCATTATACCATACCCCTAATAGTTTCAGCAGACACTGATTCCCACCTAGATCCATTATTTCATTAGAGGATTGCAAAATATAAATTTGTAGGTCTCTTTTGGAATATTTTAGCTGTGATTCTTACAGAAAGAAAATTTTTCGTTCATCGACTATTTGGTTACACTGAAATACAGTGCTGACAGAAAAGGCAAGATACATGCTTTATGATCTTTCCTTTTATTTATCAATTTACAAAATAATGAGTTGATGTCCTACCAACTTCCAAAGATACTCAAAAGGGATTTTTGGGGGGGGGGGGAGGGGACTCAGGTTTTTATAACTTTGATGTGTTTCAATCCATTGCAGGCATTGTTCTTTGTAATGCTCAAAATGCCCTAACCATGGCCAGTAGGAGATCTTTCACGTTGGCTCCTGAGTGCTACTCACATGACTTCATTAATCTCAGATATCTTCCTTTTATTCAGGTACAACAAGATGCCCTGAGGCTTACAGTGTACAATACCTGCCCTAGACCTTGAATGAACCTTTAATCCAATGAGCTTTCTGTTCTTTCCGCAGGACATGATATTTAGAAACCATAATCTGGCACTAAGGATGTTTATTGCTGCTAGGTTGTCTACTTCTTGACATGGACAGTGGAATGAGCAAGGAAATATCTATTTTTTAAAAAGAAAAACCTGTGTGCTCGCTTCGGCAGCACATATACTAAAAAAGAAAAACCTGTGAGTTCATACTAATACTTCCAACTGAAATTCAATATTACAGTGATCTTTCCTTTGATTTTATATTCATAATTTTTTTTCTCATAGTGAAAATCTTGGTTTCTAATGATATTAACAAAATTACTTATAACAAGTATTATTTATAACTTATCCATATGTGTGTATATTTCAAAATAAATACTAAAATTACCACTAGCAGTAAAACTACTAAGTGTAATTTTTTTGTGTGTGGTTCTTTTCGTCTTGATACATTTTAACCTTAGTTGAAGGATAATTTAATGGGACAAATCACTTTTGTATCAGCCTAAAACCACTGTTCCTTAATTAGAAGCAAAGGGAGCTAAGTGCAAAAGCTCAAGTAATAGAGTATTCAGGCCATTTTCCCTTCCCAGCATCTTGAGACAAAAACGTAGGATCTGGGTGAAAAAGTCTTTAGGGAGCTGATACAAACACAGGAGAAACAAATCACCCTAATGGGTAACACAGGATCAGTGAACTGAAGGAAGAGGAAGCCAAGAAAGAAATCATGAACATAATTCTCATTAAACAGGCATGATAAGTTGGAGCTGACAGACAGCTGCAAATTTTCTCAGCAGGAGCTATAGTGAAATGCTGCTTAGCAACACCCGAAGGCGGATGACAATGAGGACGGTACAAAGAGCTGAAGAATCAGATTTAAGCGTGACAATCATACCATCTTACAACTGACTATTCACCAGCAGAGGAACAACTAATTCTGTAATAATGGTAAAATATGGTGACTGTATTTCCTACACTTTATTACTTTTATTTTTTTTAAAAAAATTGTTTTTTTCTGTTTAAATAGGCTCCATGCCCAGTGTGGGGCCCGAACTCATCACCTTGAGATCAAGAGTCACATGCTCTACTGACTGGGTCAGCCAGGCACTCCTTTTATTTCCTATTTTTAAAAAAGCTGGTAAACATAATTTCTGAGCCAATACAATTCAGGCACTGATTCACATAGTTACACTACCCTGGAAACATTTTAAAAAAACATCTTAAAACTTCATAGGCTGTTGTGCAGATAGGCTGTTAGGTAGACCTATAAAATTTAAAGTGATCTTATTATCATTAGCAATTTTTTTTTTCAAATTTAAGTTTTATAGGGGTGCCTAGGTGGCTCAGTCGGTTAAACATCTGACTTTGGCTCAGTTCATGAATTCGTGGTTCATGGGCTCGAGCCCCCCATTGGGCTCTGTGCTGACAGCTCAGAGCCTGGAGCCTATTTCAGATTCTGTGTCTCCCTCTCTCTCTCTGCACCTCCCCCGCTCTCTCTCTCTCTCAAAAATAAGCATTAAAAATTTTTTTATTTTAATTTTTGGAATCATGCTCAATATTTGATACATATTAGAATCATCTATGAAGCATAAAAAAATACAGATGCCCAGGCATTAATGCAGACATGCTGCATCAGAATCTCTACAAGTGGGCCAGGCATTCGTATTTTGAAAAAGACTCAGAGAATCGTATTCGCCCCCAAACTTGAAAACCCTGTGATACAACACATAAAGGTTTACAACAATTCTCAGAGCTTTCTGTGCATGAGAATCACCTCAGGAGCTTGTTGGACACGCCAGCTCCCAGAATCTCTCAAAAGTGTTGATTCTGTCAGTCTGCTGTGGGCTCAGTAATCTGCATGTTTAAGCAGCATTCCAGGTAACACTGAGGCAAGTGTTATCAAACCATACTCTGGGCAACATTTTTTTTTTAACATTTTTGGGAAAGCATGTAAAGAAACCAAAAGAAATAAATACTACCAGCCTGGGATCTGGAATGTGGCAGCCACTGACCTGAGTGATATTTGTGAATATCTGCTCAGACATCCTCTCGCACAGAATGGCCAACAGCTGTAGAACCAGCAGCTTCTGGCCCTGGCCTTCCACAAGAGTTTGGTGCTGCTCTAACTCCAAGACGCTTTTGCTGGAGAAGGGTTTTGTTTTTAACTCTGTCTCATTTTCCATGGCCACATGAGTCAATTCCTATAGCGTGGAAGAGAAGAAAGAGTGAAGAAAAAGTCTGTAGAAACAAGGGCTTCACAAACAGTGGGAAAACTGTTTCAAGTGTATGTTTAAAGATCTAGTCTATGTTCATTGGAGCATTATTTATAATAGTGAAAATCTGGAAACAAATAAATGTCTAGGAATAAAAGAATGGATAAATAAACTGTATCTACTATACTGTAGCAGTTGAAATAAATAAACCAGGTATATATGGAAATCAAAAGAGAGAGGCCTCAAAAACAGTGAATGAAAAATGGAAGTTGTACAATAATATGTGTATTATGATATCATGTATATAAAGATTTAAAACTTCATAATAAGGGGTGCCTGGGTGGCTCAGGTCATGATCTCGTGGTTTATGACTTTGAGTCCCATATTGGGCTTGCTGCTGTCAGAGCGAAGTCCACTTCGGATCTTCTGTTTCCCTCTCTCTGTCCCTCCCTCACTCACACTCTCTCTCTCTCAAAGATAAATAAAACATTAAAAAAAAAATTTAAGGGGCACCTGGGTGGCTCAGTCGGTTGCGTGTCCGACTGCAGCTCAGCTCATGATCTCACGGTTCGTGACTTCAGGCCGTGCATTGGGCTCTGTGCTGACAGTTCGGAGCCTGGAGCTTGCTTTGGATTCTGTGTCTTCCTCTCTCTCTTTCCCCCACCCCCACTAGTGCTCTCTCTGTCTCTCTCTCTCAAAAATGAATAAACATTTTGCAAAAAAAAAAAAAAAAAGACCCCTTTGTTTAAAAGAAAAAATTTTAAACTTCATAATAAAAAAACATACATAAACAAAGAAAACTAGTTTGACAGACTTACTTTATCAGTATTTTTTATGACGTCTACCACTAGCCCTATTGAACCGAGACCTCAAGCCAAATAACATTTCCAAACCCTTTCTAGGGATTATTAAATGCTTTTAGTACCTTCTCCCCTAAGATATTTAGAACTAAATCTCTACTAATAGACAATTCACTGCTGTGGGTTTTATAGGCTCTTCCCCTATACTTTACATCATCAATTTCCTTGGGAAGGGGAAACCTTAAGTTCCTTAACAATTAATGCTTTACCAAAGTAACTGACAGTTTAGAGCAATGGGTTCCTAACTGCCTGGGAAATTCTGCTCCCCAGGGGGCATTTAGCAATGTGTGAGGACATTTTTGGATGTCGTAATTGGGGAGTGATACATCTAGTGGATAGAGGTCAGGGATGCTACTAAACATCCTGCAAGGAAGCACAGGAAGTCCCCGCCTCCCAACAAAAAATTATCCAGTCCCAAATGCCAATAGTATCAAGGTGTAGAAACCCTGGTTTATAGCAAAGCCCTTTGATTTTTGTTTTTAAACAATTTTTTTTTTAATTCTCCGATTAAGAGCACATCTTCTTGGAATGTTATTTACAATGAGTGGCTAAGGAACACCTGGGTGGCTTAGTCGGTTGAACGTCCAACTCTTGATTTTGGATCAGGTCATGATCTCATGGTCGTGGGACTGAGCCCTGTGTCAGGCTCAGTGCAGAGAGTGGAGCCTCCTTGGGATTCTCTCTCCCTCTCTCTCTCTCAAAATAAATAAACTTGGGGCGCCTGGGTGGCGCAGTCGGGTAAGCGTCCGACTTCAGCCAGGTCACGATCTCGCGGTCCGGGAGTTCGAGCCCCGCGTCGGGCTCTGGGCTGATGGCTCGGAGCCTGGAGCCTATTTCCGATTCTGTGTCTCCCTCTCTCTCTGCCCCTCCCCCGTTCATGCTCTGTCTCTCTCTGTCCCAAAAATAAAATAAACGTTGAAATAAATAAATAAATAAATAAATAAATAAATAAACTTAACACACACACACACACACACACACACACACACACACACACACAAAGAGTGGCTAGGTAAGGGGAAAAAATGTGAATATAGGAGTTGAGAAAAGCACCAAAAAAGTGGCCCCTACTTCAAGTTCTAGGAGTGTGTTAGTCCTGATTCTCTCCTTGCATTCCCCCATAACCACACCAACCTTAAACTCCAGAGACATTCTCTTAGAATAGACACTTTACTTAGGGAAAATAATGGAGAAGGCAACACGGGAGGACAGAGAATCAGAGATCACTGTTTACAGTCTCAAACAGTGCAAGTAAGGAGTACAATATGGGGTACAAGTTGCTGTCAGAGATTAGAGCAAGAGGAAGCACAACCATCAGCACTACAAACAGACCTGGAGAAGGTTTCAGGTGGTTACAAAATGAAACGAGAAAGGCAGGACTGCTAAATCTCCTTCCCAAATATCTGACAAAACAACAGTCAGAAAGGATAAGGGATTACTCCATAACTGTAAAACCTGCTATTAACTTCAAAAGAGTTCTTACTGTCAACACAGAGCAAAGATTAACCCTTTCATAGATCAATAGCTATGCTTTGGTCATCTCTAAAAGCTCAGGGCAGATTACCTCGGAAAATAGTTAGGTCATATGTGTACTGCTGAAGGTAAGTTTTTTTCTCTTTTTACCAACCCAAAGGCTACTAAACAATAAACTGCTCTTACATCCTCTTATTATTTCTGTTAGATTAGGACCTGAATTTAAGGGGCTAAAATTACGATGGCCCTGAAAATCTGAAGGGGATCCTGGTATTGCCCTGAAATCAAGCTGACCATGTCCTTACCATGAGTAGTTCTTACCTGCAAGCAGAAGATGAAGAAGTCACCTGCCAAACCACACTCCTGGCAGTGGGATAACAAGTCCCCAAGGTGCTCAACCCGGCACTGCTCTGAGGACACCTTCTGGTACAAGGCTTCATCCTCATCTTCGTCACTGCAACATGGGGAAAGATTGATCTTGGCAGTGTCACCCAGAGATATTTTTTTTTTTGAAACTCAACAAAAATCTTCTGAAGTAACATGGTATCGGGGCGCCTGGGTGGCTCACTTAGTTAAGCCTCCAGCTTTGGCTCAGGTCATGACCTCATGGTTCATGGGTTTGAGCCCCACGTTGGGCTATGCGCTGACAGCTCAGGGCCCGAGCCCACTTTGGATTCTGTGTCTTCCTCTCGCTCTGCTCCTCCCCCACTAGTGCTCTGTCTCTCTTTCTCTCTCTCAAAACTAAATAAACATTAAAAAATTTTTTTTAATTTAAAGTAACATGGCATCTTCGTATGGTAAATCACTAGAAAGATATCAAAACTTTGTTAAATTATTTTCCTCTTTCCCCATGCTGAAAAGGTATTTATTCTCAGAAGGGAGGATGCCGTGTCCTACATAACATACGCTAAGTGGGGAAAAGATTCATGAAGGAAGTGGCTTTTAGAATAGATGTTCAGGGAGCGCCTGGGTGGTAAGTCAGTTAAGCGTCCAATTTAGGCTCAGGTCATGATCTCGTGGTTTGTGAGTTCGAGCCCCACATCAGACTCTGTGCTGACAGCTCAGAGCCTAGAGCCTGCTTCAGAATCTGTGTCTCCCTCTGCCCCTCCCCCACTCACACACACACTCTTTCTCTTTCTCTCTCACAAGTAAACATTAAAAAAATGTTTTTAAAAGATGGATGTTGAGGAATTCTATTATTTCAATAAACTGAAAGAACAAGAAGGAATAAAGTATAGGTTGTATGCAGATACTCTGGTTCTGGAGGAAGAACATAAAGAAAGAAGTCTGCAAAGCAAGGTCAGATCAAAGAGGGCCCTGGATGCCATTCAAAGAAACTCAGACATTTTTTTGATGAGCCACTGAAGGTTTATGGGCAGTAAGGAAAAGACACTATCCTTACAGAGGGAGATCCAGTCAGTCTCAACTAATAAGAACCAATGAGTTGAAATATGAACAGGCATAAAGGCTCAGAAAACTGAGTAGGCCAAATTTCCAAGGAATAAAATATGGCTAAGTTATTAAAAGCAGTGTTACGCTTTCTGCAAAAAGTGTCAAGAAATTTCTCATGAGGTACTAAGGCTTTTAGTTTTAATTCATATGGTAAGTGAAAAAGCCAAGATACAATATTATCGTACTATATCATGGAAACAAACAAAGAGGCACAAGATGTACTAGAAGACAAAACACTAAAAAAATGTGAACAGTGAACAAGATAGTGGTTACTTTGTTTTCCTCTTTATGCTTTTTTGTATTATACAAAGAAGATATGTTACTCTTACGATTAAAGAAGGAATAACATTTTTTTCAGACCAAACTGAGAAAACAATGATAGATGTTGCTTCTTCTCATTGAAAACTACAATTATTAAAGTTTATTTGGCCCCATCCCATTGGGCAGTAAGTCCCAATTTGCCAGTTCACTAATAACATGGCCTTTATATTCCTCTAGTAGAATGAATAACCTATAAACTAAGCTTAAGATTACTTCCTACATTATCCCAGAATCTTCCAGCATCCTTCAGATCAGTCATGTTATCTCCACCACATTTTACGTTAGGAAAAAAAAGCTGAAATGGATAAGTGTCACTTCTAAGCTTCTGTGAACCATCCTGTCAAAATGAAGTACTATATTCAAATACTTTTTTAAAAAAGACATGACAACAATTAACTTAAGAAGCTCTATTCTTAAAATTTCAATGGTAAAGAGTCCATTCTGAATACTGTAGCTATATTTAGTTCCAGAAAAATAAAAATAAAAACAAAAAAGATCATGAAATCTAAACTGCTCTTTTAGTGTTTCTTTAAACAAAGCTTTTAAACTGGGGCTTCTGAGAAGAATGATAGGGAAAAGGTAAGTGGTGATACTGAACTGCCCTGAAGGGACTAGCACCACAAGCAAGATCTTTAGAACAAAAGATAAAATCACACACACACACACACACACACACACACACCTCTGATACAGTAAATGCTAACTTTTTGGAGATATGGAGTGTCTTTAAGTATCAAATGAGAGCTATGGACCCTATTTTCAGAAAAAAAATTCAGGTTCGCACATAAAATATTTCTTGCGTATAATTTCAGAGGGACTATGGACCGCTACAAGTCCATGGAGAAACCGCAAGTTAAGGATCCATTGCTTCTGGAAGTAAAGACTCATTCACTACTGCCTATTCAATTTTTGCCTACCATGAAGAGAAAACCTGTTAATTTTGACATATGTGCACTAAGATATACACTAGAGACTTGTTAAGATAGCAATTAACTTTAACTACTGATAAGTCAAATACTATAAAATTCTCTACATAGTCACTAAATTGGTCCCAGATTAAACTCTTCCAAAGTGTTTTTAAAATAAACATGTTGAGAAATTTTAAACTCAGTTCAGGGGCATAGTTACAACTCTAAAACCTACTAGAGCTCAACAGCTCTTGGGAAATAAGTAGCTTGTGTTTGCACTGATGATTCTGTTTGCAGTCAATGTATGTTTTTCATTTTCCTCAAGTCCATCATACTGAAAGAGCGTTTTATAACTTCACTAGGTTAACCCTGAATAAAAAATTAAATTTGCACTATAACAAACAGCCACACTTTGAATGCATGTAAAATCTGAGTAGCTGCCAGCAGTTAAGAACTATATGGATTCTGGTCAATAGGAACTTATATTAAGAGGTAATAATACCTACACGTATCACCTAAAAAGTGGAAATAATTTAAAATATACTTGTGTGCCATTCCACTAACATTTATTAAGCACTTTCTAAACGATCTCTAGAAGAAAGAAACCCCCATCCTATAATTAACATAAAATATAGTTATCAGACAATTTCCTTTAAGAGTAAGTCTGACTCTGAACATACACATACCATTTAGAGAGTCAGAAAGAGAACTGGATCGTTAGGGCGCGGAGAGTAAATGTGTGTCTGCCCTTTACTCTGATTCACTGGCAAAGCCTTTGTGAAGTAAGTGGGCTTATGAGGCAGAGCTGTGAGGCTCCAGCAAATTGCACCTACTATTAGCTGGCATCCGGGGGAAAAAAACCTGCAGGATTATTTAAGGCACTCACATTTCACTTAGCGATTATAAATAGCAGCACCTCAGCTGCCTCAAGTCCTCGTTCCCGTTCTACCAGCGCCCCTTAGTGGACAAGTCAGGGAAGGGCCTTTTGGGTGCAATTCCATCAGAAGAGAGAGGGTAAAAGGATGGGTGGACTCACCAAACGGTCTCTTTGATGGTAATCATGATGCCACCTTGAGCGGCCGCTCTAAACTGACACAGAGAAGGAAGACAGGACACAGATTTGTCCAATCCTGCAAATCCTTTCAGGCTGGCAATTGCCTTCTTCCTCTCTAGCTTCCCCAGAATCCATAATAAGATCTCTTGGCAAAGTGACCTGGCAGAAAAAGCAGTTATAAATGAGCTTGTCAACTTACTCTACACATCTAACAAGATAACATAAAAAAAGAAAGGAAGACTGTCAGGTTCCACTGCATTCTAAATGCTGGCACAACCACCTAGTGCTACTGAAGTGCAGGACTGGAACGTTATGCTTCCCGTGAATTTGGGAATATATCTAATATCCTGAAATTCAATGAGTGACTGGCTAATCTGGGCCCCAGAAGCAACACTAGTAAGACACAGGAGCTCCACATAATTAAAAAAAAAAAAAAATCCAAGCGTACCATTGCCTTTGGGTCAGGCCCTGTGAACAGAAGTTTACACTGACAAAAACCGTCTATGAGTGGATCAAGAGCAGGTGACCAACAAACTCTTGCTGATGCCTCAGCCCCTTCCATCTGTGCCAATCAGCCAGGATAAGGAGGAAATAAACGTTCACTTATTCCTTCTCGGGCTCTGATGAGGACATGATAGTGCCGTGAGGATTTGGGTTTCAAAACTAAGACAAAGGTTATTTTACAGACAGTTATTTGAAGCCAAATGCACACACTCATAGTCTCCATCTTCCACTGTGTTTTCTCTTGTAGCTGTTGGACTAGTGATGTGCTGACCAAAAGTTAGAGTCTAAGGCAGTATGTGAACTTTGAAAAATATGTAAGAATGAGTACTTTCCTTCACCACTTAACAACGATGAGGACAACAATCATCTCTCAGCTATTTTCCAGGGACAGCGCTAAACACTTCAATGCACAGTCTTCATAAAATAACCCTATGAAGAAGGTAATATTTGTAGGGGTTTTCAAAACACTAAAAGTCAGAATTCTCTAGGACTTTGAAAAGGATATAAACCCTTAAAAGGAGGAAAAAACAACATAAATATCTGTGAAAAAAGAGACCTGATACAAAATGAAGCCTACTTAAAACTCCAATACAAAAGATTGTTTTCTGGGTGATTAAGAAATCCCTTCATTCCAAACAACACTGCGCAGCACTCATACTAAATCCAAGTCTAAATTACAGAGTGCCATGTTCAGATCCAGATTTCCCCAACTTGATTTCTCATTCCCCACAAGGTAGTTATGATCCCTTCTCTACTTCCTCCTTCCTAGACATGTAATTCCAGTATTTCTCATGGATCAAACACGGGCATGTTTACACATGTAAACAGGGGTTTCGTCTCTGATGTCTAGGACGGAGGCTGAGGAGAGCCATTCTAAAAATTACATCCAATCCCCAGCAATCTGAAAAGTGCTCTTTCTTTCCCCAGATGAGCAGAATAAGAGGATCCTCAAATGCTTTCCTGATTTTGAAACAAACGACAAAAAAAAAAAACAATTACAAAGTGAGACTAAGTTTTATATTCAAAATAAGAATAAGAATGACATACAAGAAAGATTTCACTATTTATAAACAAATAAGTTTCTCTAGATTGTTTACCTTATATGAGACACGCTTTGCTTGGTGAAACAGTAGAGAGAAAAGAGCACACCCGAGACTGGAAGCAGGGAGTCCACTAAAACCGTCAAAGGTTCGTTCCCGACCACGTACACCTAGGGAAAAGAAAATGGCGAGAAGCACGGTGAGCACAAGGCCGGAGGAACAGGAATCAAACACCACACACCTACTAGCAGGGCTCAGAGTCTTATCTTCAGCAACGCTGTTGTCCTAAACTGAATAATTTTAGCTCTAAGACTAAGAAAACCATTTGAGATGGGCAGACAGGCTGAAGCACAGGGAGCCTGAACTGCAGCGGTGCCCTTTCGTGGGCGGCCTGAAGAACTGTCAGGCAAAATGGGTAAATGAACCCATTTCCTGACCCCTTCCTTTCCTGCTTTTGACTACCTTTGTGTCTCCTGCTAGTCTGCCTATTACTCATCTATGCAATAACTGTCTAATTACCAAAGGGCCTGCTCTCAGGAACTAACAAGCAATGCCAAACAGAAAAACTTAAAACTAGATTTGAAAATCGAAACCAAAACCAAAAACACGGCCTGCTCTAGAGTTGTCACTCTAATGTATGTCTGTCTGGGTGGCTCAGTCAGTTGCGCATCCAACTTTTGACTGTGGCTCAGGTCATGATCTCAAGGTTGTGGGATTGAGCCCCACGTCAGGCTCCTTAATGAATGTGGAGTCTGCTTGAGATTCTCTCTCTCTCTCTCTCTCTCTCTCTCTCTCTCTCTCTCTCTCTCTCCTCCCCTCTCGACTCATGCACACATCCACTCTCTCTCTCTGTCTCTCTCAAAATTGAAAAAAAAAATCTGTCATTCTTAACATATAACTGCCATATGGGTATGTCCTATTCTCTCCAGTTCAATAAATGTTAAAAGAAATTACAACGCACTCCTAGCTCTGCATTGACTTTATAGGGTTAAGTGTGTGAGGATGCTGATTTTTGTTAACAGTAATTATGTCACACGTTTTAGTTGTCACTTCAAAAAGGATAGCACAAATGCATTCAACAAACTTTATTTGAACGCCCACTGGAATCAAAGCATGGTCTTAGGCACTGTAGTGAATATAAAAATGAGTAAGAGTTGTTCTCTCTCAATTGCTTGTGATCTAACAGGAAGAATAAAACAAGGAGACCAATTACAAAAATAATAACTCAAAACAGGTAAGTTAAAGAATTAAGAAGAGCAAAACACTATTTTTTCCCAACATTCTTTCTGTAAATCAGCGCCTCTGTAGGCTTCCATTTCCTCATCCTTAAAAATAAGACTGACCTTGGGAGACTGTTATAATTTTTTTTCCATAGGAGACTGTTATAATTTTAATAAGCTAACTGTTTAAAGAATCTAACACAGTAGCTGGAAGATAAAAATGCTGGCATAGTTCCGGGAATACATATTAAGAGTGTCAGTTCCTCAGCTTTCTCCTTTTATCATCATTATCTGTGTCCGCACTATCAGGTTTCAATTAATTTATTAATTAAGTTGTGTTGAAGTGAAGGAGGAATCATTGCTGTTTTGTGGGATCCTATAGGTCATGGAGGCACAAGCTGGAAGATGCTCTGTGCTTTTCCAGAGAATCCTGTCCCTTTAAATCAACCCTAATTTTTCACACTGCTTAAGCCTCCCAGCATCTCTGTGGAGCTTGATAACCAAGGAGTCAGCTTCCTGTGCATGATCTAATCTCCATAAACCCAGCTCAGTGGGGTGCATGGTACGGCAGTGTTCACAGTAATATGCAGGCCTAATTATGATATCATCAATTACAAGTGGTAAAAAGAGAGAGAGAGAGAGAGGAGAGAGAGAGAGAGAGAGAGAGGGAGAGATTTCCCCAGATCACGTAAGGGCCTATTGTTTGGCTCTGTGGTCTGTGTTCCCAGAAGTAATCCCTGTGGAGCCATCCTTCCTTATCAGCATCTTTTATACAAAAAACAAAACCCAAATGGCGTTAACTCTCCTTTATTTACTGGCTTGACTGAGACACAGCACCTAAAATTTTAACATGAGTTCAATCGAGCCCATTTCTCAGGGGTATATGTTGTTATTGACAAATTCCTCCAAGTTTTAAGTTCTCTTGTCATACTTTTCTGAAGAAACAAGTACTGCTTTTGTATTTAGAAAAAAATCGATCAAAGAGTTTTCTCTGTGGTATCTCAAACAACTCAAATGGCCTCTTTTTGCCACTTATAGATTGTCATCTCCCTTCCAGTATTAAGAGGAAACTTCTCCTTATACTGAGCCCAAAGCTACCTTCCTCTAACTTCCTTGATGGAAGTACTTTGTTGTTGTTGTTGTTGTTTGAAAAGTTTTAGATGGGCCATTCAAACATTCTACCTTTTCCACAGGCCTGCTATGTATTTGACTGTTCAACTATTCATCCATTCATTCACTAATTCAAATATTTAGTAAGCATCTAACCACCATTAATGACTTTCCTCCTATAAATTCCAATAGCACTTAGAGCTTGTAACACAGAATGTATAGTTCTCTCTCACCTCTTCAACTAGCCTAGAAGGGAAAAGTGAAGCTCTCTGTTTCAGCACCTATCACAATAGATGATTAAGTTGTGTTACCTGAATTTCTGGTGAATAAGCAGTTGTTACAGAAGTATACAATTTAAAGGAACCACATTGTTACTGTTCTTATGAAGCAAACAATAACTACCATTTACTGCAATGTCTACTCAAGAATAAACCAGGTTATTCAGCTAAACATTTAACATACAATCAATCCTCACCAGAGTCCTGCAGGTTAAGCATTTTTATTCCCATTCTAAAAATGTGGAAAACTAGGGCCCAGAGAAGCAAAGTTAGTGGAGCCAAGGAATTCTGTTAGTAAATGGCAGAATCAAGGTGAACAAAGGTCTGCCTGACGTAAAATCCATGCACAATCCAGAGACAGAGAGCAGTAAAGGTTGTAAGGGGGTGGGAGTAGGGGAAAATGGGGACTGACTGCTTCATGGGTACGGTGTTTCCATTTGGGGTGATGAAAAAGTTCCGGAACTAGACAGCGATGATGACTGTGCGACGCTGTGAATGCACTTAATGCCGGCGAATTGTATACTTTAAGATGGTTAAAACGGTAAATGTTATATTATTTTCTAAAAGAACGAAACACGTACTCGTGGCCTCCCCAAACTCACCTCCCCCTGTGCCTGTTTGCATTGCTTCAGTCCCTAACCCACACCACCTTTACCCCAACCATCTCCCCTCAGAACCAGTAGGCCCCAGCCTGCCAGGCTATTAATAACTCCAGTCCTGCAAGAAGAGTTCCTGAGTGGCACCAGGAGCTCCTGCACCGCCTCCCCTTCCTCCCGCTGAGACTCTTCTCTATTATACAGCCGTCTTCTACCGAGTCTTCCAGGGGGGCTCCAGGGCCACAGCATGGCCTTTCCAAGGACAGCGCCCTCCTTCCAGTCTGTTGCCTGGCACTCAACTCATATGCAGGTTAACGGTTTGGTCTGGACCTCACATCCAACCTTACCCTCTCAGTATACTCCCGAAGTAGAATCTGGTCATTTCCCACTTCATGTGGACTCCCCAGGTCACTGAGTTATATCTGAGTTTAGTGACCCATAAAGGGACACAGGAGGCTGCACCGATTCAGCGATGTCTTGCTGACAGCACAGACGATGAGCAACTGCTCCAGGGAAAAAAAAACAAAACGACAGTCCTCCCAACAAAGTCATACTATATATGGAAGCAACTGTTAGGGCCAGTTCCTTCCAGTGTCCTTCATACTAGGCTGGTGACAGTATGGACTGAGGAAGCAGTGAGGGCACAACAGTAGGCTGTTCCTGCCCCACAGAGGACAAGGCCCTACTACCCTGCATCTCTGCTCTCACATCAGGTGTTGTGGAATTTCCTTGGACTGTGCTCATACGTAGTCTCCTGCTATCTGGGGCTCTTGAACTCTTGGAAGTTCAAGTTCTGAAACACAATCCCATATTGCTTGTATTATTTCTACCTGTGGAAATTCCCTTTCCTCAGCAGTATACCTACTGGGTATATTTCACATAGGGTTGTTTGTAATACTTCCACTGACCAGCTGCAAGACTTATCACAAATCAATTGACTTATCTGAGTCTCAGTTTCCCTACCTAGGGAATAAGGAGGTTGGCAAATCTATCACCCTCTGACTTGACTGCAAATTTGCTCACTCCCTTCAGTATCCTTCTGGTACTTTAGCCATTAAGAGGTTTAAAAAGAAAACCAACTAGCTGGAAAACATGAAACAATCCTGCACCACCCGAAAATTTTTCCAACACTCAAACTGACCAAGATGTAAAAATTTCTAATCCTCCCCACATGCTTTCCCTTCTATAAGTTCTGAAATTAGAAATTTAAGGCTGAAATCCTGATTAGGTGAAAGATGTTCTGGTTACTTGAGATATCTGTACGACCAGAAATCACCAAACAAAATACCAAGAGGTGGGAAAGCTGAAGCGGGGAAAGGAGAGACAGACTCTCAAGGTATCTTCAATTCTCTGGTGTGAAAAGCCTCTCTGAGAGTAAGTGAAATGGTGCTTCGAAGAAAAGTTCAACTTCCGTGTCTATCTTTGGCTCTTCCAGTAGGACAGGACTGAGGGGCAAAATGAGAGACCAGTATGAATCTATGAAAATCATAATGGCTCAGAATAGATCAGTGGAGGAAACGGGTACCAATGACCCACTGGCAGCTTGGGGATTTCCTCATTCCTTTCTGAATGCATCTTGGCTTTCTATCACAGATCCAGCCATGAGAAGAGGTGTGGTTAAGCCTTACAACCCTTCATCTAAGCTCAGAGATCACTCTTACCTAGTAACAAAGACATGTTTCTGGATACTGTTAACAATCCATCACATTCTACTTGTAACTCTTTGTTTGCCTGACTGGGGGCTCCTTGAAGGCAGCAATTGGCTCTTAATCATTTCTGTTATTTGCAAACCTAGCAGAGTAGCTGGCATTCTGTATGTACTTGGTAAAAAAATGTTTTTTCTTACTGATTAACTGAATCAAAGAAAGAATAAATAAAGCACATTGAATGCTTTTTATTTTCTCAAAAGCTCTATTTTTGTGGGGGAATTACAATGCTCCCTGTATTTTCTTTTTTGTTGTCTAAG